TGTGAAGTTGGCATGCTGGCAGTATGGCCACATGCCATGGTTTTGGAAAGTTGGACACAGCCAAACCCAAAATCAGACGTGTGGAGGTAGGGGGATTCCAGACACTGGCATCAGGAGGATGTGAAATGAAAAGGGAGATAGAGACAAACTAACATGCAGACTGGCAGACATTCAGGTAAGTCAGACAGACATGATAGAGGTACAATCAAACACTGAAGGTCAGCAGATAAACCACAGCCTGACAAACAGGGCTGTCGACTGACTGAGCAAGCTGACTCACTTACTGTCCTGCAGCAGGGTAACTCTGGGCCATGTTGACCCAAAGGAAGCAGTGTGCGTCACTGTGCATGCATGTACTCTTGAATAGTTTTATTTGTGTAGATAGAGTGCATGTACGTGGAAGTGAGGCTTGAAGAGAAGCGAAAAGGAATAAAGGCACAGAGAGTGACCTCCTGATGTCTCATGTCCATAAAGGCCAGATTTGTGCAGTATACGACTGAGAGGACTCTTTAAAGATGGCACAGAGACACCCACAGCTTTTTTTTCCTTCAAATGTCGCCTTGTTCCTTTGTTCTTAGGGGTTGTACAGAATCATTTCTGCTCCTACTGTAGCACTCTTAAATGTTATTACTTACTGTCTTATATAAAGCTGAGAAACAGATTTAAATAAAATTATGAATGCAAAAAAAATCAATGTTAGTAACTGATTACATACATTTTCTGCAGAAAGTCATGGACCAAATGCAGCTTTATTTTACTGGTTTGTAATTATTTCCTAAGAATGTTCAAGTCACTACCTGGCCATACCTTTTTAATTTGGTTTAGATTATGGGGAAAGAAATCGTGTTAAATTGGGATATTCGCATTTAATTCAAAATAATTGCCATTGTATCACTGTAGTCGGTGCACAAGAACTGAGCACAAGCAAAGTGGCTGATGTGTTAAACATTAATAGATTTATTATTTACAGCTTATAAACCCTTTTTTTTTGGATGTTAATATCAGAAGCAGTGCCACACACAGCAGCAGCAGGGCTCTAGACATCTCCCCAGTGGGCTGATAATGAATATTCAGCTGTCCTTCTTCACCATTTTTCTCCCTCTGGTCAACTCTTATATATGCTTCCTCCTCCGTTTTCATCTCCCTCCATTCCTCCATTTGTCCCTCAGCTCCTTCTCTCTGCAAACCACTTTCTTTCTCATTTCGCTCCTCATCCTACTCACTTGTTCATTGCCACTTGGAAGATCCATTTAGAAGTATTAGCCATGTTTTGCTCAGAGCTCTTGGGCGTACAGTTAAATAAAAAGAGTGGAGGAGGTAGGAGAAAGTTCCCTGGGGGCTGCAAGGGGCTATCATGGCTGAAGTGCTTGTAGCTCCGTAAATTTTGTATTTTGTTACCATCAGTGAATCTCATTAAAATACTAAAATTAAGAGCTTTTAAATGTGTTATATATAATTAAAACTTGAATACCAGGTCACTGATTTTAAGAACTAGGTGGGCACTAGTTTTTAACAAACATTACTCAAACAAGAGTAAATTGTGCATTTCTTTGTGCCTATTTTCACACTCAATTATTAGTTTACAGCAGCAGCAGCACCGTACACTGTAGTGTATGTGGGAATGACTCTCATCTTTATGGGAAGTACTGGATGTCAAACAAAATAAACTTTTGGTTAACACTAGGAATGTTGCTCAGAGACTTTCAGCATCCTTTCCATGTGAGAAACTGGTGAAGATAAGATGCCCACACATCTGATTCCCAGTGTACTGTGATGGCCTGCAGAAATAAGGCACCGTCAGATGATTAAAATCATGGAGGAGGTTTCACACAAACACACACACACACATGAACACACAGTGCTATCCAGTGTGTGGGAGAGAGCTGTCACATCCACTGTTGGATAATCAGCTGAAGGTAAGACTAACTTCAGAGCTTAAGATTCTTTGGTGAACTTGTGAAGTTAAACACAATAGACCCATGATACTGTTTAAAATATAATTTCACTTTTGTAATGGACATTGTTTTACTGTACATATGACTGTTGCACAATGAAAGTAAATGCAGCCCTTTCTTGACACTCACTAAGACAGAGCGGTATCAATTTAATAACTGACAATAGATCCACTTTAATGTACTTTACATGACAGACTGTTCCCAAGAAAACTATTAAAAATTTGAAAGTTTGACCCCTGGGTTGTTGTGTGACAAACACCTCAGACTCATAAGTGTTGTAACTTTATTGGTTTGTGAGGGAGGAGACGCCCTTCAAAAATCCGTAGAGCCACCAGGAGCCAAGCTGAAAACATTCTTGTTGAATGAGTCATCCCCCTTGAGTCATTTCCCCTTTGGCCTCCATAGCTCCGCAGCACTGTAATTACTGTATCATCGAAGAGCTCCTGTCCTGTTATGCTATGTAAGGCAACAGTGTGACACCACTTCAAGAACGCATCTTGAGATCCAGACACACAGTAATTAATCAGTTGTGGAAGAAATACTCCACGGTGTAAAAAAGCCACAAGTAAAAACTCTGCATCCAAAATTTCACTTAAGTATATAAGTATTACAAGCAAAATTTACTTGTCAGAAGTACTTATGTCATGATTCCAGTCTCAGCCCTGTTAATTCTTCCGCTGTCTCCTGCCATGCTAAATCTGGCCACCAGATGTCCTCAGGCTTTCTTCCCTGCTCCATTCACCTGCTCATCTGTCTCCCATTCCCAGTCACCAGACCTTCCTCACCCATTTACGTGCCTGTCTCAATATCAGCTCCTCATTTGTAAGATTGTAGCATTTCTCTGCAGTGTGAGTGTTTTATGTTTTGCCTTTCATGCTGAAGACTCTTGTTCTTGCTAACCTTCCTCTTGCCTGTAACGCATTTCTGTTCCTGACCCTACCCTCTCGTAAACTTTAGTTTCACTACATCTGCCTGTGCTCCAAACCTCAGCCTTTCCTAAGTCGTAAATTATGGCACCCCAGGGTCCCAAAATTGTATGCACACATAGGTGCACAAGATAAACATACATGTACTTACCTCAATTCACAATATGAGGGTCAAAATGCTGTTTCACAGCCATCTCATCACAGGCAGGAGTTCAAATCCACCAGATCTTTTTTGGTCTAAAAGTAATCAAACATAAAAATAATGACTACAATTACTAAAGAACTGTTAAAATATACATAAAGATGGCTTCATCTTAAGGGGTCATAAGCTTGATAGGTTTGGAATTTCTGCTTTATACTCTGTTATTACCACCCACCCTTCAACCTTCCACTGCACAGCCTGTCCACAACTCTACTGACAGGCACATCAGAGAAAAACACAGCAATTCAGCAATTAATACGACAGTACCTCTGCACCCTCACTAATTAGGCTTTCATATCAGAGCTGTGCCCTGTAATTATGGCAGAAAGTGGACACGCTGCTCCTGTGCTCACCCCAAACACTCGTTAATCACCAGCAATGCTCTCAAAGTTCAGAGGCAAGGCAGAGAGAAAGAGATGTTTGCCTTTACACATACTGAGCATGTAAATGCAAACAAACAAACAAAAAGAGAGAAATAAACTGTGCTGATTTATTTAGCACAGGGCTAAGAAAATCTTTCTGGGATTAAATAATATTCACAATATTTTTTGAACAAGTATTTGTCTGTTTTATTAAGAAATTTCTACCAACATTTTTGTACAATTGTTCATGTCATCTTTCAGTAAAAAAGGTCACAAACTATGGACAGACAGTGTTGGGCACATGGTGCAAAGTGGGTTGCTCAAGCTTTTTAAAATAGAAATAATATGAGAGAAGTGAAAATGAACTAAAAATAGTGAGTGAACTGTGAAACCAAACAGCGGGCTGTAGGCCAGTGAAACTCTGTACAGCTGACAGTAACCACAGAGCTGGTGATCTACTTGCTCTTTTTGCAGAAAAGTGGCATTAAAACAAAAACATATATGACAACTGAAGACATTAAAGGTTCTGACACTATGAATGCAATTCAGAAAAAAACAGCAACAAAAAACATAGACAAGAAAAAAAGTGCAAGGAAAAAAACAAGATGCAGTTTATAATGTGCTAGAATTAAGAACGGTATTTGCACATGGGATACATGTCAAATGTTTGCAATTGCAAAACTAAAGGAAAAGGTTAAAAGAAAAACAGAATAGTTTTGTTAGCAGCAGATTTAAAAAGGGATTTACATCAACTGTAGATGTCTCTTAAATAAGACAGTTTTGAACAAATTGTTGTTGTTGGGTTTCTCTTTTTCTTGAAAGGCCCAGTTTAGGAAACGAAAACAATAATATAGAGGGACAGCAGCTCATTGCTTTGTGCCAATATTAAAATATTGCGGCATCACATCTCATTACATGACTTGGTCCTCCAAAGATGCTGCTCTTATCATCTGTTCTGGTGTCAGTTTTACCTTTGTTCATCTAATTTGAAGATTCAAAGAAGAGATGGTGAAACTGAATGCGGATCTGTAGCTACTCCTACACCAGAAAAGATCTCGCGTGGCTTGCATCACACCTCTGCCAAGACTATCAGAGAGGAGAAAATAGAAAGAGGTCTCACTGTCTTATTTCAATATACAGCAGGGAACCAGGGAGAGAGGAGTGTCACCTCCTGATGTAGGCATGACTATTTGCCACTTTGTTGTTTTCTCAGTGGGTTTTTATTTGTTTTTGTCCATTCAACCTTACTTCAAAAACTTGCAAGCACCTCTCAATCCAAGTATCCTATCGACAAATTTACTTTAGCACCTGGATGAAGTTGGAGGATTAAGGTTCTGAATTGGATCTTTCAAGCAGGGGTGGTCAATTTGGGTCCTTGAGGGTCACTGCCCTGCTTGTTTTCCAACTATCCCTGCCCTACCCACTGCTGATTACCTGGATCAGGTGTGTTCAGTCAATCAGAAGCTGGAAGATTCCATCTTAGCTGAAAGTGGAGCGAGGAAAAACAAAGTGAATTGGTATCTTCCAGCTTTTGACTGAACACACCAGATCCAGATAATCACCAGTGGGTAGGAAAACGGCCTTCAGGGATCAGGATTGCCCGCCCATGTAACCTTATATAGGTACTTTATTATGATAATAATTTTGCTTAAATAACATTCTCAATGCAGGACTTTTATTTTTAACCAAGTAGCATCTGCAACACTGTGGATATTACTGCTTTTACTTAGTCAGTGGTGGAAGAAGTACTAAGATTTTTTTATAAAGTAAAAGTAGCAAAACCTCAGTGTAAAAATACTCTGACAAATAAAAGTCCTGAATTCAAAATGTTTTCATGCAAATATATTTGCATGAAAACATACATAAAGTATCAAAAGTATAAGTACTCATTATGCAGAATGGCACATTTCACATGAATGTAGGCTATATCATATTACTGAATTATAATTATTGATGCATATATTGTGTTCATCACATTTAACGCAGCAGCTGGTAAAGGTGGATCTAAGTGCTGATGTGTAGCCTGTTAATTTCCCACCAGGGATCAATCAAGTGTTATTTTGTTTTATTAATCTGATTCTTATATGTAATTAAAGTTATCAAATAAATGTAGTCTAATAAAAAGCTAGATATTTGCCGCTAAAATGTAGTAAACTGGCCTCAGTGCTGTAAATAATCTAACAATTCCTTTTATTTATTTATTTATTTTTTAGCACAGAGTGACGCATCTTGTTGCTAGAGGATCTTTGTTACTACAGCGAGGCTCCCCTCTCTCTCCTCTGCCTCCTTGCTCCTTTCTGAGCGCGAGCCTCCCTTCTCTCTCTCACGAGTTCTCCTCCTGAAACCTGCGCGAGGCGGTCCCCCCTCTCCCCTTCAGTTAACATGGCTACAGTTGTAACCTCCACCAGATTCACAGACGAATATCAGCTGTACGAGGAACTCGGAAAGTAAGCGACCGTCATCACCGCAGCTCTTGTTGCGTTCACTGTGTTTGTTTGCACGTTTTTTTTCCTTCTTCTCTGTTGCTGCTGCCATTGTGCGCGTTTACTTGAGTGTTGACAAGACAGGAGAGGGGCTGTCAAAAAAAAAGGGAAGGGTAGGAGAAGCTCCCGAGCAACAATAACCCGAAGGCTTGTTCATGTTAACACAGCACAGGTTTGTGTTTAATCCCAAATGTGCATTTAAAGGTGTATCGCAACGTTGTGGCACCAATAGCAAAAGGCGTGAAACACCCGCGTATAGGACCAACTTGTCTGTTCATTTATCTGCAGGTAGCACGCGTCGAAAACTCGTTTGCATTTGCTCGTTGCCTAGTGGCATCTCCAGGCTCATTTGGTCATTCAGCGCTGTTTTTTGTGCATTTCTAAGTAGACTGCAGGGCTACTGTATATGTCAAGCAAATAAATAAATAAATGAAGACAAGCCTGTGCTGCAAACATGACTGAGGCGGTTGCACATTATTCGCCACTACTGTAGTCAGGATTTAAAGGACACATACTGTTGGTTACAGTGCATATTCTGGCTGCAAAGCCACTTTGTAACATCCAGTCTCTGCCTGTGACTAGTTGAGCTGCTCCACCTACCAATATAGTCGAGTTTTTATGAGGCGTCTGTGTAAAAATGCAGACAGGACTGAGAAGACATTGTTTAGTGAGTAGTTCTACCTTTCAGTCCTACTCATGTTTCTTCCTGTGAACTAATCACAGGGTCCTTTCGTCACACTCTAGTACTCGGGACCTCTTCTTACATCTCACACACAGGAGATCAGACTGTTTTAATTATGCATGTGACTTCCTTTCCCCCCTCTTTAGGTGTATGTGATTCACACATGCCCTTAGAGGGTGAAATTCACACAGTATGCTGGAGAGTTTTGTTTTGTTTAAAGTTGTTTTACTGATCCCTCATCTTCTGCTCCAGGGGTGCCTTCTCTGTCGTTCGCCGTTGCATCAAGAAGTCCACTGGCCAGGAGTATGCCGCTAAAATTATTAACACAAAAAAACTCTCAGCCAGAGGTAAGTGCAGCCCATATCTACTGTGTGCCTCAGCATTACAGTCAAGCAGCAGCATGTATGTAATCTGCTGTAGCTGCAGGCTTGTTAGTTTATTTCCATAAGAACAGTGAGCCAGAAGCTCTGTCCCATCCTTGTCAGCGGAGGGTCCTGAATAGATGGAGGCCACTTGGCAAAGCTGTGCTTCTGTGGTTCAAGTTGTACAGTGAGGTTCAGTGGGCTTTGGCAGTTGTCTGCAACCATTTTTGGTGTGTTAAGGTTAGTGTCCTGCAAAGGATTGAACTGTATGCGCTCCAGCTTGGCCTTCAGTCGAAAATATCCTCACCTCTTATGGAAGGGAGGGTTCCTGTTTACAACAGCAGCAACTTGGTCTTATTTAAATAGTTTTGGTCATAGTTTCAGTTGGGATCTGATAACAGTTAAAAACACAGTAGCATTGCTTAAAAGAAGTCAGACAGAGCCAGAAAAGGATCAGTCAGGTTTCAAACAAGTCCTCAGGTGCCTGTCGTATATTATCATACATTCAAGTCACAGAGATAAGCCTCAGTTTTTCTGCAAAATAAATGTCTGGCAGTATTGAAAACCACAGGTCATAATCCTTAACCACTAACTAACCATCTGAATGATAGATACTCCATCTACTGCACTATCCATCCATCCATTTTCCTACGCTTATCCGGGACCGGGTCGCGGGGGCAGCAGTCTAAGCAAAAATGCCCAGACTTCCCTCTCTCCAGACACTTCCTCCAGCTCCTCCGGGGGAATGCTGAGGCGTTCCCAGGCCAGCCGAGAGACATAGTCCCTCCAGCATGTCCTGGGTCTTCCCCGGGGCCTCCTCCCGGTGGGACATGC